CCAAGGTCCTTTCCGACCCAAACCATTCTACGATTCTCCCCGGGTCGGCAGGAGGGTGACGGACGCCGGTGGGGGAGGAGATGCGCCGCGCCGAACCTTACCTGTGTGCGTGCGCTTGTGCCGCTGCAGCTCGTCGCTGCGGGTGAAGCGTTTGCCGCAGAGGATCCAGGTGCAGATGAAGGGTCGCTCCCCGGTGTGCCACCGCAGGTGAGCCCGCAGGTGAGAGGTTTTGCCGTACACCTTCCCGCAGCCCGGGATGTGACAGATGTGTTGCTTTTTTTTACCCGGATCCCCAGAGCTCCTGAAAAGAAATCAAAAGGAAAGCGTTAAAACGAGACGGGAAAGCTCCGGCTGGATGGACGGAGGGAGAACGGGGCCAAAAAAAGGGCTTTTTTGGGGGGGTTTCAACCCCGCTCGCCGGGGTTTGGAGGCTGCAGGGGCAGCCCGGCGTTGATGGATTCGCGGCGGAGCGCTCACCTTCCCTCGCTGTCTTTGCAGTAGGGACAGGTACACGCTTCCCTCCGCGTTTTCCGTCCTTGCTGAGGTTGGGGATCCGGGCTGGTTTCTCCTTCCTCCACAGCCGCGTTTTCGTCTCCCAGTCCGTCTCCGCTCGCGCCGTGAAGACCCAGCTGAGCACCGTGGTCGCCTGGAAGGAAACGCAGGAGGTGACGGCGGGTTCTTCACCAGCAGAACCCCCCCCCAGCAGCGGGAGGGACGCTGGGAGGGACTTTCCCCCACGGCAGCCACGAAGCCGGGATGCTCTCGGCACGCCGGGAGGTATTAATTCCAGCCTTCTCCCTCGTTTTTCCGCGGGGTTGTGTTTTCCAGCCCCACCGAGCTCTCCCCAAAGCCGCCGGGGGCTCTCCCTGCCCTCCACACCGCCCCCCTCCCTCAAGTTCCCCCACATCACCCCACAGTTTGGTCCGTGTCCTCCGATTTGTACCCGGAGAAAAGGGAAGAACGTATCTCTTGGGGGGAAAAAACATCCCTCCAGCCACCCGCCAACTATTTCAGCTATTTCAGCTCGCTTAGCGTGGAAAACAGAGCAAAAAAAAAATAAAAAAAAAAATAATGTAAACGGAGCAGCGCCGGCCGGCTCGCCTCGGTGTCAGCGATAAAACAAACGGCAAAACATCGCCGAGGGAAACCTGGGCTTCTCCGAATCCCACCTCGCTCCCGACCTCACCCGGCTCCCCTCTCCCCTCGTTTTTTTTTTTTTCGGGGCTGAAAGAGGCAAATTCCCCTTTTCAAACATCTCTCCAGCTTAAACCCGAGCAGCAAATCTACAGAGCAGCTGCGAACCCCTCCTGCCGACCCCCGTCCCCAAAAACCAAGGCGGCAGTGATAAATAAAGCGGGCTGGAAGACCGCAGTCCTCAGCAGCATCCATCAGCGCAGATAATAGCGGCACGCGCTCGCTGCTTAATTACTGCCATTACAGAAAGGGATATACGGAGAGATAGATATATATATAAAGTTGAAAAATCATCCGGAGCGCGGTTCCCTCTCTCCCTCCCTCCCTCCCGGAGCAATTCCCAATTAGAAAAGCCGTAGGAACCGCCGGGTAGTGCTGACGAGCGCCCAAACGCCGACGAACATAAAACCATTGGCGACGGGGAGGGGGAACGACGGACCTCGAGGGGTGGGAAGTTTTTAAGCCTATGGAGTTTTCATTGCCATTTTATTGCTCTACGCTTACGCCGTCGTCTAACTGCTTCTCCGATAACGCCCCATCTACGCTTCTCGCACGGCTTTTATTTCCCTTCGAGCTCCGCCGCCCGATTATTTTCACACCGAAAAGCTGGAGCGAGCGCAGCGACGGGCTGAGTAATCTCTTTTCAGCGGCAATTAACGTGCGCCGATAG